TTTTTTTTTTTTTTTTAAATCATAGCATTACCAAAATAGGCCTAGGCATAGATTAAAAACCAAGTTCCACGTTCACGTTACAAAAGAGGTGTATATATCTCAATTTTCAAATAATAAAATTAAATATAAAATGACTACAACCTCCTCTTGTATCACACGTGCAAACACAAGTTTATGTATTTCTTCTTCATTTATGAGGTGTTTATAATCATTTAGACATGTCATGTCATGGGAAGATAACACCTTGTGTACACGAAGGCAGCATTGTACGCATGCCACAGCAAAGACACGTGTACACGAAGGTAGCATTATATGTACATTATGGCAACGGAGTAGGCACATGAAAGCAACATTGCGTAATAGCATCGTGTGCACGTTATGATAAGGACGTGTGCACATGAAGGTGCACACCAAGACAACATCCTGTGCATGTTATGTCGAGAACTTAGATACATAGATAGCATCGTGTGCACATGAAGATAAAATCGTGTACACGTCATCATACGAATGTGGATCAATAGTACTAAAGAGTATTGAAACATAAAAAACATTGTTTGGGAGATTTGTTTGTAATTAAAATTGATTTTTTGGAGAATGAATTATTAAAAATCCTATTGCTTTTGAGAAATATTGAATATTAAAAAATCTCTCTTTTTTTAAATGAGCTCGAAATAATATGTAACAAACACGACTTTATGGTACAGTCAGATGCACGTGTGCGTAACGGAAAGGGAGCGGTTTTGAGCATTGTGGGTCACAAAAGACCAAAATACCAATCCACGAAACTCACCTAAAAAGCATAAAGGTGCTCACATAACATTACAAAAGCAAAAGGTTGTACTTTACTTTTTCAAACCAAAACTGTACCTTTTCTTGTTTTCGTGCGTAACAGATCTGTACGTTACAAAACAAATTAAACAGAATCAAACGCATTTGAAAAACACAGGAAAAAAGAACAGTGATTGAATAATGCTTGGACATGATGCGGGAATGAAAGGGCACGGTGACGTGACAGATAATAATAATGCATTTGTGTTTCTATTTTTTTCAAACTGTTCAATCGTATTTCGACATGTGTCCCCCCTTTTTTTGAACATGTCTTTGAGCCTGTTTGTGTATCACAAATGAAAGTGATTAGATTTGAGATAATAAATAGCATTATTATTTTGAAATTAATAAGTTAATCAAATTTTATTATTAACTACAAATTTTGTTCGTCTCACAATTTTTATCCACTTTTTAATTATATTTTTATTTATTTTGTAGCTGAACATATAACATGTTTGACAACCATCCGACATGATATCGATGTTGAAACCTTCTACTTCAGACATTCTATAAAAAAATACAACGAGATTTAAATTGAAATAAAACGTAAAGATCATTTAACAAAAATGCATACCCTCCAACAAAAAACTCGACGACCTAAAAAAATGGCAATGTTGTCATTACGATTTTTTTTTTTTATTTTTATAAGTGCACTACATTGTAATTGCATTAATGGTATATATCCTTTATTTATTGTCCTGCTTATGATCTCAACTTTTTTTTATTTAGAGTGTGTTTGAGCCACATTATTTTTGAAGAATGTATTCTGAAATAGTAGATTGATGGAGAATGTATGGTTGAAAAAGAATGAAACGTTATTGATGTGATTGAAAATATTATTTTATTGAAAAATGTGTGATTGAAAATGAGTAGAAGAATGAGAATGCAAATTTTAATGTGTGCCAGACAGAGGCTATTCCGTTGCATTCTTATCATCAAAATAATTAGACGAAAATCATAGTTTGGAAAACCTTTAATGTTTTATTAAATATGGTGGGTTTGAAAAAATAAAAGTACTTGTGATATTAATATAATTACTCTTCAAAAATTTGATAAATTAAATTTGAGTTTTGCTTCATGTACATAAGTAAAACCAAAACATAACACTCACACACGGTGGGGTCCATGCATTTTTTATTTTTTTTAAATACACGGTGGAGTCCACTCATTATGAGTATTCTGATGAATTTCTGTGAAAACCATTTCTGTACAAATGGATTTTTCCATTAAATTTCAACAAATTTATTAATTGTCTTTATATTCTGAAAAGCTTCAAACAAATTCTGTTTTTCTCTCAAATATCGAGATAGAGAGAGAAGCCGTTACACACCCAAGTCCAACAAAGTTTTTAATGGGGTTCCCCACCACCCACACGTGCGGTTTTCGTAATGCTAACTTGCTAAGTAGCTTCTGCAATTTCAATTTAAATGACTATAGATAATAGAATAATGCTACTTGCGACTTGCTCACTGCAGCAATCGTCTTATGTGGCATACACATGTCAAGTGTGTATTTGATACATTAAATGTGGTAAAAAATTATCACATTAATGCATCAAATAACTACATGTCATGTGTGTGCCACATAAGACGACTGTTGCAGTGAGCGATTGCAAATAGAATTACTCATAGATAATAAATCAAATGAAAAGTAGAATTAAATGAATGATTTGATTTCACTTATCATTTAGTGCCACGTTGTCGCCACTTAAATTGGGGTTACAATTCCAGTAGGATTTCCATGCACCCACAGACTTCTACAGATTCATACATATACATACAGAGAGAGACTCTAGCTAGTTTCAAGTCTCGAAGTAAAGAGAGAAATTTTCAATTCTGAGAGAGCGTTCCATGTTTCAACATACTATAATTTCTCCGGTTTTCATTTTCTGCAACACTGATAGTCTCTTAAGAATAAAACGTAGTAAAAAAAAATCTTATTCACTGTATTTATTGTTGGATTCTGCGGCTTTGAGAAATGAATTATGATGTGCCTCCTGTTGCTGCGCCTCCATTTTCCATGGCTTTTCTCCAGAAGGGAGAAATTGGAGACAAGGAAATGGGAAATCAGTTTTTGAATTTTCCATTGGAGCAGAATCTTGAAAAGTCTTGGTTTTTTCACCCAATGGAAGACAGAAGGGAAAATGAGTGGAAAAATGAAGGGGAAAATGGGAGGAAAAGTAGGGAAACAAAGTTATGTACCAGAGGCCATTGGAGACCACATGAAGATGCCAAACTAAAACAACTTGTTGCCCAATTGGGACCTCAAAATTGGAATCTCATTGCTGATAAACTTGAAGGAAGATCAGGTAATTACCAACTGAAGTTCCGACAGAAGTTTCGACTTTTTTATTGTTAGGATATAGATTTTTTTTGGGGAAAACCAATAAAGATTAATCTTTGTGTTGGCTATTATACAATCTTAAGGAGGTAAAAAAATATAAGGTTTTAATTGTCATATGAATCCTTAACTATTAAAAATGGAAAAATGGGATTTACATTAATATGGTTATTGTTTTCCTAATATATAGTCCATCTATTCATTCATTGATCACTAGCTAATTTGGGGAAAAACAAAAAAAGAAGAAGGTAGATTCTTCTAGATCTCATCTAATAATGAACTGGAAAAAGATTCATATAGCATGTGTCAAATTTATTACATAATTTGTGGCTATCTTCATTCATAATTGCAGGAAAAAGTTGCAGATTAAGATGGTTTAACCAGTTGGATCCAAGGATTAACAAAATATCATTCACAGAAGAGGAAGAGGAAACCCTTTTGTCTGCGCACAAAATGTATGGCAACAAATGGGCTATGATAGCCAAATTATTCCCAGGCAGAACTGACAATGCAGTGAAAAACCATTGGCATGTGATTATGGCAAGAAAACACAGAGAACAAAACCATTGTTACAGAAGAAAAAAACCCTTTTTTTCACAGGTCCAAAATAATGAAGGCAGTGAATCGACAATTTCCAGCAATTTTGGTCATGTCCAGCAGATAAATGTATTGGAGCTCTTATGAGTATGATCATTTTGTCTCCCTAAATATTTCAATTTTCATTTATTTTAATATCTAAGATGCATGGAAACTTCGAAAATGGCTTGATAGCATATCCTTTTCTTCTTGATCCATGGTGACAAAATTATGTTTGTCGATAATTTTCTTAATGAAAAATGCTGATCAACGCAGGAAGCAGTGTCATACAGGGTAATAATCTGGAGTATAGCAAAGGGCATATAACAAATGGTGCAAATGTGGATCAATCAGGTCACTCAGATTCAAATTCTGAAGTTTCTGCATCAGAATCAGTAGCCAATAACATGTCCAATCTCTTCTTGTTTGAAGAAAATGAGAATGGAAAATTTAACAAGAAAAACATGGCATTCATTGATTTTCTCGGCGTGGGAAGCCCATAAAAGGAATTTCCGGGGTTGGGGTCCTAGACTCCTAGTTTGAGAGAGTTGAATATGTTACAGGAAGGAATGGTGTAAGAGCACGTTCAGCTCCTGCTTAAAAGTACCTTTTGAAGTCCTTATTTGAATAGTATAAGTCCCAAAAAGGGTGAATAAGTGTTGTTCTAATTGAGCTGAACATTCTTTAGTACCATAAAATGTGGATTTTACAGGAAATTAAGAGTACCTTTAAAAAAGTGTACTGATGCATGTAATCAAGAAAAAGCAAGATGTTTAACTGTGACTGTTAGTAAATGAAAATTGCCCATATTCCATGTCTTGTAATTGACACAGTGTGTCTTTGTCTTGTTGCACGTTTCTCCCCTTTTTCTTGTGTGCACAGAGAAGGAGTGGCGTGGGGTGGGATGTCAAAATCAGGCGGTGCTTGCCCAAGTCAGACCATGCCTACCCAATATGTTGAAGAATAATGCTATTTATTATTATGATGATGAAATATCGATGATGTGACATTTATGTGGAATAATGAGATTGAATAGTTCAATTTTTACGAAAGAGAGTGGAAGGAGAAAGAGAGAGAAATGTGAGGGATAATGGATTATCACGTCATCGATGTTCTATCGACATGATGATAAATATTATTACTCTATGTACAATGTGTCGAGTCGAGCTCGGCGGTAGGGACATATGGGCTCAAGCTGTTTTGGGTGGGCCTATTATGATTTGAAAAATAAAGACTACTTTATGCTTTGATTAAATTTAATACTTTTTTTTTTCATGTTCTTCTAGAGAGAGGAAGAAAATAGATTTAACTAATCTAGTCCTCCAAACAAGGGTTGGGTGATCTTAGAATTAATTACTATGCATAACTGTTTTTCTATTAAGTATCTGTGTGGGAGTGATATATTAAGGAGTGATCACTTTTCATTTTTAGAATATTGTGTGATTAAAAAGTAGAAAAAAGTTATGAGAAATTTTAAGACTGTAATTGAAAATGAAAGTGGAAGAAATTGATTATCAAAAGATCACTTCTAAGCGACTTTATTGTTACGAATTACAGAAAATATAGAGAGTTTGTGAGTATTCTATTAAAATCAAAATTATATATTTATATAATAAATTGAGGGTGCAGGTACAATCACATTCTTTCAATAAAACAAATTTATACGTAATCATGCATCCTCTTTAAAATCACTATTACAAAGCTTATTCTTTCTAAAAAAGGAGCCTCAAACACACCCTTAAATTGGAGTCGAGTTGTCTTATTTATGATATTTTCTCTATCCAGTTGAATGAATGTAATGATCAATCAAGCTTTAATCGACACTCAATA